TCTTCACAGCCGTTTCATTCACAACTATTTCACCAAAAACCGCCAAATGAAATGGTTCAGTAACAGCCTAGTGGTAAAAACATGCAGGGGGGTATTAAACCAGACCACTGGGGCTGGCGCTTATGAAACGGGCCATCAGTCGACTATAACTGTCACCGGAATCGTCACGCATTTGTCTACCCGGGCCGGAGCATTCACAGGACACATAAATCTGACTGTCACATCAATTAATCGTGCAATTAAGATTCTCATTGCTTGGCAGATACAGCCACTAATGGATCAGTGACAAGTGTGATACGATCATAAAGAGGGAATTTTAAAGTAGTGTTTAATTGCTCCTATGCTCGTCAGTGTTACAGCTGATGCTGTGTGAGCCCATTAGAAATAAAATATGTGGTTCACTAAACCGTGTAAGGTCACTTACCAACAATCCTATTACGTCCTCAAGCATATGCTCCTAATCAAGGCCGTATTTAGATTTTACATGTGATGATTAAGGATTTGTGGTGTTTAGCAAATGTTCAGGTTGTGACTGACTGGAAGTGAGACGGTGGCTCTGCTTACACAGCAGCAATATCTGCTAATATAGCGTTCATTCATGTCTTTGAATCATTTAAATGGTTTTACCATCAGGATGATGTTGAAGGCCAGCAAAATATTTTTCCAAAGTCATCAATGTTATAATAGATAATAAAGACATTACTGCTGTCTGATTTGTTTCAGTGTTCCTGTTTTAAGGTGAGTAGCATCCCCGGTACCGGTGCATGGACGGGCTTCTTCAGGAGGAAGAGTGAGTACTTAGTCATTACTGGACAGCTGCTGCTGATGCAAACATCCGTTACACATCAATATTGCTGTGCTGATTGATTTCAAACATTTCCACATTAAAATATGCATTTGCTTCCATCATTTCCCCTCATTATTAGTTTTCAGCCCCTCTCTAATGAAAGCCTCTGAAAAATGAACATGAAGCCATTACATTTACCTGAAAAGACCTCAAACGTCTGATTACTGCTTTATTTGAATTATATTACCAAATAATATACCTGGCTAAATCATTTACAATATTTTTATACATTTCTTTCTTTTGTGTGTGTGTGTGTTTCGGTCCTTCCATCTTTGATTCCATCTTTCTCAAAGTGTGAATGAAGTAACCTCCAAGCTTGTAGGGCAACAGCTTATCTGGCTTTCTTCAATGTTGTTTTAACTTTGAAAAAATGGAGGTCAGAATTTCCAGCTCCACACACAATAGGCTCTAATCCCAACACTCGAACTTCCAACATTCTGTCCTTCAGTTGCAAGTTCCCCGAAGGGGTGCAAGTCCGTAGGGTGTCCCGATTCTCAAGTGTGGAAGGTGACCAAGTCCCTTTTGCACCCTTGATCCGCATCGATGCGGACTTCAGGCAAAGGTATTACTCACAATACATTGATGCATAGAAATTTTGGTGAGAAGAAACATTTTAAGATGATAAATTAAATTTATTCATCATGGATTCCAACTTGAGTGTTGGAAAGGCCATCAGCTAGGTGATGCCTAGTGGAGTCTTATCCTCTCTGATCATGAGGAAACCACTTTTTGCAGAAATTTATACACACTAAATTAGACCAAGTTGTAATGTGGACAGCAATGAAGTTAGATTTAGTCAAATAACTGTTTGTTTAAGTTGCTAATAAAGATTTTAAAAAAAAAACATTGTACAAACGGCGACCGGCATGCGGGCATGCGTCGTGGTTGGTTCCTGTCCCATTTCGGCACACTTGTGTAATACACACTCGAAGCCTTACTGAACACTTCCTCTAAGTGCACTTCACACAAGAGCGTAGGGCGCAGCGCGAGTTTTGGGATTGGGCCTAATTATGTCAGGATGTGGATGTGGATGGGGAAGAAAAATGGGTGATCCGAGGCACTCTGAGAAGTATTTTTATCAGAGCAAGACGCATTTCGGTAAATGGTAAATGGCCTGTATTTGATATAGCGCCTTCTAGAGTCCTGGAACCCCCCACGGCGCTTTACAACACAATCAGTCATTCACCCATTCACACACACATTCACACACTGGTGGGGATGAGCTACGATGTAGCCACAGCTGCCCTGGGGCGCACTGACAGAGACGAGGCTGCCGAGCACTGGCACCACCGGTCCCTCCGACCACCACCAGCAGGCAGGGTTAAGTGTCTTGCCCAAGGACACAACGACAGTGACAGACTGAGCGGGGCTCTAACCTGCAACCTTCCGATTATGGGGTGAGCACTGAAGTCCTGCGCCACCGTCGCCCCTTGCGTTGCGTACAATCTTCTTCAGAAGGAAGAAATTAAGTGTTAACTTATTTTTTTAGGTTGCATAAAGTAAATGAACAACCATCAAAGTTGGAATTACAACTTGGAGAGTGAAATATTCTTGACCATAAAGAAGACTAATATTTAAAGATTTTTACTTATGTCACTTCTAGAAAATAAAACACCAATAAAATAAAAAAAGACAAGAGAAAATCTGTTATAAACTGGATCTTTCCCATCAGCCTGCTCATTATTTCCACAGAAGTATGTTTGTTCTGAATACTTCATGTTACCTCCACATGTGGTTGGCCCATGCTTTTTAAATGTGGCCCCATCAGGATCCCTGACAAGCATAAATCCTGGATCTGCCACTCTTTTCATTTTATGGGGAGGAAAAATAAACAAACTGAGAAAAACTCGCAGGCAAAGCCCTAATTTTCTCTGTAATCCTTTCTCTCCACAACAAGCACACATTTAGCTATTGAAAGCTACTGCTATTGCATCTGAAGGGACATCAGAACACGCTCCAACCGTGTTAATTAAAGATGCAGCACAACGAAGCTGGAGGCATAAATTAGTTCCTTTGGGTGAGAGAGCAGTGCGGCGAGCACGGTACATCTAAAGAGACAGAGGTGCAGGGGAGTTACGGTGCAGACAGGAAACATCACCAACATGAAAAAGGTTCCTTCTTATTTTGTTACAGTCTTGTGTGTGTGTGTGTGTGTGCGTGCGTGCGTGCGTGCACCAGTTGCTCTGCAGTTTAAAACATTGTCTCAGTGTTATTGAGGAAATTGCATATGTGTCACACCCAGTTAACACAAAGGTTGTGTATTAATATGTATCTGAGTGATACGTTGTGTATTATTTATGTGGACAAACACACACTCACCCATCCAAGGTGTGTGACAGAAAAGACATTTCGATTTCCATCACGCTTTATTTGCAATAATCTGATTTTTATGAACATACTTTAAGAAGATTATTGAGATTTGTGAAAGAGCTGCTGGGAAATCTATGATTGTTTTCTGTAAGCAAAAAAAAAAAAGGTAAACTGCAATAGCAAGTGAAAAAAAGATTCCTTTGACACCATATTGGTCAAAAATAGAGATTATATGACTGTATTTTTTATTATTTAGGGAGTAAAAAGAAGGCAAGCAAAACAATTCTCATAACACGGCACTTACAAGTTGGGTTAACGAATGCAGTCGAGCATTTTTAACACCCATCATTCAGCTCCTGTTGAGGCTGCGTTAGATTTATTGCAAGTACAAAGCTGTCAAACTCTACACAAGTCAAAGGGAAAAGAAAATAGTGAGCTATCACAAGCAGATATTAATGATCTGCACTTTTTGTGCAACGCTGCAACAGAAGAGAGCCAAACTCTGCAAAGGAGCTATTTCTATATGGTGCTTTTCTTTCTCATGTGTCTGTTATTCAGGTAGAACAGGGTTTATGGCAGGGTTAACGGCCTCGCTGCCTGGCTGAGGACTAAGGGAGGAAGTGAAGTTGGCATAAAGGTTTTTCTGGTGTTCTGAGGTGCCGCAATGCCGAGCCGGCTGTCAGAGCCACTGAGCGCTGACTGGACGAGGGCAGTGGCCTCGCCATCTGCTGCACGACAGGCAAAGTCACCCTTTATGCTGTGTGTGTGTGTGTGTGTGTGTGTGTGTGTGTGTGTGTGTGTGTGTGTGTGTGTGTGTGTGTGTGTGTGTGTGTGTGTGTGTGTGTGTGTGTGTGTGTGTGTGTGTGTGTGTGTGTGTGTGTGCATTTTTGTTTTGATCTTTTTTGCAAAGTGTCTCTGTAAACATGTAGAGCAGAGTGGGTGCCAGATGTGTCTGCATGTACAAAAATGTATAATTGGATCCATGTGTATTTAACATTCATGCACATCCGTGTGCTTCAGAGGCTTCCACCTACTGTAGAACTAGAGATTTTATTTTTCAGAGATTAGAAGAACAACAGGTAGAATTTCAGGGGATTAAAAACAGACAGAAAGATGAAAAGATAAATCTCTTTACACCCATTGATTGTACGGTAAATAAATAAAAAGATCAGTCAAATACAAATTGAGTCACTGTCAACCTTACTCCAGACAATTTAGAATTGTATATCTTCACACAAAACATGATTTGAGTGTGAATAAAACATTTTTAAAAGGCATTTCAATTGGAGATTCATTCTCAAGACTGGGTTTTTGTTGCCTTCATGTTTTGCATTAAAGAGCATTTCAGAAAAAAAACATTGTAGAAGTCTTTTTTGCACATGCTCACTGTTCATTTGGTCCCTAAAAACAACAAAAAATGTCCCTACCAGTCTGTTAATCTCACATTACGCTGACTCTGTTGCCCAAAAACTGGTTGTGTATGAAATGGAATTAGAGAAATGTGTAGCTGTGATCAAATGAAATAAATGGGTAAAAGTTACGGGTGAAACTGCAGCCAAGCTGAGAATAAAGGCGAATAAAAGCCTTGATCTGTTGTAACAACTTAAAATGTATGCCGAGAATTTTCTTTCTTTGTATTTTGATGAGAAAACTCAGCCCCCCAGTGGCCCAGTCTGGGTATTGCAACGTTTTGCTATGCAACAAGAAATATTTTGGTACACAAACAAAAACATTTAGATTACAAAACAAGGAGGGCAGACAGGTCCAAACTCTGCTTAAAGAAGCATTCCTTTAACAGGACAGAAGACGTTGGGGCTAAAGGATGAGGATGACGTGTACTGACCACTTCTCGGGGCAGCAGGGAGTCCTCCTGCCGAAGTGCCAACAGGTTCACAATCCCATTCATGGGTGCAGCTCGAAGCAGGGCCACCACCTCCTCTTGGGTCTTTCCATTAAGGTCTGCTCCATTGACCTTCACACACACACACACACACACACACACACACACACACACACACACACACACACACACACACACACACACACACACACACACACACACGCATTCAAATGAGCAAAAAGTAAACTCAACCTACATGTGTCCCCCACGTGATTATTGTGCAGATTACAATCAGAGTGATTTGCAGCAGGACTGTAACACGGGTTCATTTTGTCTAAAGCGATCGCAAGCTGCTTTTCATTTCATTTTGACTGAAGTACAATCAAAATATTGTATCAACTAGCAGCATTTCAATGGAAACTCAAAGCTGCAGTTAGCTTGTTCTAGCTGTAGGAAATGCAGAGTGTTTGACTGATCCTAACAAAAGCTCCACAAGACTGATTTTGGAAACAAAGCCACATCAGCCAAAGAGTAATTAGACTGAAATACCATCCAATCTCCCTCAGCACACTCGCTGAATATCACTAAAGGGTTTAATGTTTTGAGGTTTTATGAAAGCTCCACCTCCAGCAGCCGGTCTCCAGCTTTCAGCCGGCTGTCCTGGATGGCAGCGCCTCGGGGAAGGATGTTTTTGATGAAAATGGGAGCGCTTCCACCAATGGGGACATCCCTAGATGTGATGCTGAATCCAAGACCCTCTGGACCTGCAAAAGAAACATAAAAAGGCTCTGTTTTATATCACGCCTGATGGAGTTTGTGGATTTAGAAAAAGTATGATATCTGAGTTTTATAAAAGGAAGGATGTCTAGTTTCATAAACCTGAACTAGCATTTCTTCAGATTAAAAATGTCTTTTCATCAGAGACAAACTCATTAGATATGATGAACCTGTCTTTATACAATGGAGGACAGTTGATGTATGTGATGTGGAGGGCTGAATGGGCTGATCCTGGATCCAAAGGTGCATTAAAAAATAATAAAAGTAAAAATGGATGCCAGTAAGTGATGCAGGAATCCTGTCAGGGTGTGTGTGTTTCCTCGCGATCAGAGAGGATAACTAGGCATCACCTAGCTGATGGTGTTTCCAACATTCAGGTTGGAAAGTCTTGTTGTGTGGTTCAAGCTGAGGCTTCTCCGACGGTAACGGCGGTGATTAGTATTCCTGTCAAAGTAGCTGCTCATTTCATGGAGCTGTCAGCACCTCTGATAGTTCATCATGACCTAGTTTTCCTCGCGTGTCTGTTTAGCACGCCGTTGAACTGTGTCAGCTTGTTGACAGTGATGTGCAGATCAACAACGAACACTAAAAACAGCGAAAGCGGATGGTAACGTTCTCCTGGCTCTGGCGCACAAACAACCCCGCAGACGGATTGTAGGGAGATTGCTTACGGAGTTAGAAAGTTGAGCTGTAGAGGATAACGACGCTCTCAGATCTTCCCATCAGTGTGGTTTGATAACTGAGCAGACAGAAATAGCTGTCATCGTTCACGCTCGCTATTAAATATGCAGTTTGTCTGCATAACTGTCAAAGTTTGACTACAAGGTCACAAAGCTGCTGTAGAAGTTTCCCTCTCAGTGGAGATGTTAATAAAAACCCAGTTTTGATCAAAGACCGGTGCATGTGACATTTAGGACGACACTTTTTTTTTTCCAGTACTTAAATTGTATTTTGTTAAATTGTTTTCCAGTTATGGTTAAAAGAAAGTTTACATTCGTACATTCTAGTTTAAGTATCATGGCATATTTAAAACTAACCTCAGGTGTACAAAAACACACACATTCCAGAAGTTTTAAAACAATAAAAAGTCTAAATAGAAAAGTATGTCCACTCTTGTTTCTACAGGCTTCAGGGTTCATGTCAGATGACCATCAAATGTATAAATTAACTGATCATAATAATACATCTAACTGATATAGCGCTTTTCAGGACACTTAAAGACTCTTTCATGCACTCTCACATTCACACACTGCTAGTGATTGTAAGCTACTTTGGGCCACAGCTGTCCTGAGGCGGTCTGACAGAGGCAAGGGTGCCATTTGGCGCCGTCGGCCCCTCTGACCACCACCAACACAGGCAAGTTGGGTGAAGTGTCTTGCCCAAGGACACAACAGCAGAATACCCCTGGCGGGAGCTGGGATCACACCCATGACCCTCCGATCATGAGGCAACCCGCTCTACCTCCTGAGCTACTGCTGCCCCGATCGTCATCTGTGGGAAATCACTGAGGAAGTTTGGCAGGTCTGAAATTCTGGGTAATAACCTTAAAAGGACAACTGTTGTTTCTTAATCTGGGAAGGGTTAAAGGTCATGGTCACACCTCCTGGAGACCATCATCCTGTCAATCTTCTCAAAAGTGGACATCTGAGATGGTTCACCCTGAGGTGGTCTGACAAAATACCCCAAACCATGAACTCTATCTACGTCTCTACTGAAACAGTTCACCACACAAGCTCTTTTATTATTATTATTATTATTATTATTATTATTATTATTATTATTATTATTATTATGTATTCATTTAAAGTGTGGTTCACTTTTTTAATCAATACATTTGCAGTAGTCTCTAGTAGGAATGAATGCCTTGTGAGGTGTTCTCGGAGAGAAAAAATATACCGGTGCACCATTTCTTGGAAGTAAAAGTTGCCCACATCAGAGCTGAACTTCAGACAGCTGGAATAAGGGTCTTATTTCCTGATATTTGGACATCTTGCCTGTGATTGTATAACAGCAACGCAACTCTACCACTGACTGTGTTTTCTCTGCAATGTTGATGTTTTATCTCCACAAATAATGCAAACCTCGAGGAGTTTTGCCATGTGGTGGAGTTGCTAAATACTAACGGTTAGCTTCTACTAGCCAAGACTATCTCTGCTGTTTCCTGGATGCTAAACCCAGTGGCACCCCCAAGGAGTGGCCAGGGGTGGTCATTAATTGCAATTATTGAGTAAAGAAATGCTCGGACTTAAAAAAAATGTATGTTTCTGCTGCTCACCATTAAAAAAAATAAACTTTAGATCACCATAGTTTTTTTTTCGTGAAGACAGCAACAGGTGAATTAAACTAAAAAATCTAAAATAAGTTTTGAAATAACATTTCAACTAACTGAAATGTATTTTTCAGATTTTCTTTTGTGTGTTTCTCAAATTTGAGCTGTGTTTTGGATACATATTATTGTTTAATAAATAAAGGAGCATTGCAATGCATCACCGCAGGCTAAACTCTTCCAGAGTCACCACAGTTTGGTGTGCCACCCCAACATTTTTGGTCCCCATCTGGCCCCCCTTATCAAAATTTTCTGGGGACACCCCTGGCTAAACCAATAACTTCCTTCCTCGTTGTAAGTCAAGACGGGTCAGTTCATGAATGTTAGTGACAGTGTGACGTAGATCTATCAGGATTTTCTAATCCTAGAGTTTCACCGTCAGTTTTCTTTCAGAAGCTAACGTTCGGAACACACCAGACGCGGAAGCAAGACGAAGTGCCGCGGAACGACGAGCGCTTCTAATCGGCACCCTTGTTAACCTTCGTTCTCTGTCACATTAGCTGCAAAGCGCCATGAAGGCTCGCGCCGTGCAGCAATCGTTTCGGCGTGAGCTCTATTCTTTCGTGAGCCGTGAGTGAGCCGCGTCAATTCTGGCAGGAAGTCAAACCAAAGCGGAAGAGGCAGGCTGGTAAATTTAACAGAATAAAAATAAAAATTTCTAAATCAAATACCGCGATTGATAAATGTGATCACTTTTGTGTATCTAAACAGACTAGAGAGATGAAAATGAACAAACACATACACACACACACACACACACACACACACACACACAAGCACAGGGCGCGGGGGTGGGGTGGGGGGTTTGGAAAACAGTAGACGTGAGCAGAAGCGCTCGTTGGTAATTCTCTCCTGATGTGAACAGAGCATGAGCGGACAGCGGACGAATTTCGTGAACGATCCACTTCACGGCGCTTCACAGCTGGTGTGTTCCAGGCGTAATGCAGGAGACAGGCATACACTAGAGACTTTTATCCTGCATGAAACACTCGGAGTGACTGATTATAATCAGAAATAATATACATATATATATATATATATATATATATATATATATATATATATATATATATATATATATATATATATATGTGTGTGTTTTAGAGTTCCACACCTTTAAAGGATGACATGGTGGGATCTGCTGTGTGCTTTTGTACACTTTAGGTCCGATTGATTCATCTAAGCACCTAATAAAGAACGCATCATATTTATTATGTCCTGATGCATTAAACTCCTTCATCTTTAGCATAGCTTTACATACATAGAAACACATCATGGTACATCCAGTCTAACGTTTCTGATCCGTTTATAGCAGCTGCTTTAACACACGGCTAATGAGCAGAATCAAACTCCTGCCTCCATCAGGAGATTTTATCATTAATGGTCCAATCAGGCAATTAGGAGAATGCAACTCAAACAGGCCTTCAGTAATTAACCACTGACGTCTTTATTTTTGGGTAATAGACGAGCAGAATAAAAGTAATTGTATCCTCGTTTTAGAATAGTTTGAATCTTGCCTCCAATAAGCCAATTAAACAGCAAACATGAGGAGAGGCTGGGGGACATGACAATGACTTAATGGGCTGCGTCTGTTGTTGTCAACAGAATAATTTGATTAAGGCACTCCTGTTAATGTGCCGTTCAAGATCTGCTCCTGCCACTTGGAACTCAGAGCCACTCAGACTGAATCACAACAATTACACCGAGTCGACAACAAAACTGCCACAGCCCGTCCAAAAGTGCATTAACAGAGATAAAGTCTGATGGAAATTAAATGGAAAAGTCAAAACAGATTTCCGAGCCCAAATCCACAGGATTTTATCGCTCCTGAATTTTTGCTCCGACTCAACAAAATTGGGACATTTTGGCTCCATTTAGGGTTCACAAAGGCACCGGCGTTTCTTAGAGTCCACATTCATTTTAGTAAATCTCAATCAAATTATAAATGATAATGTTAAACAACATTTTTATCGTTTGAGTGATGGTATAAGTGGTTTAGAGTCACTGCTAGACTAAAACATCAGCATGCTGAAGTTCCACCAAGGCTCCTCCACGATTTCACTGGAATGAGTGCAAAGAGGATCACATGGTAGTGGATACAGCCTCACATGCACTGAGAAGCCATAATGTGAAGGAGCTGTGATGGTGATGTGATGAAATGTTTGCCAAGAACATTATAGAGCAGCTTGTGAGTGCATTTCCTTTGAGTGTGGTGGTTCTGTCTGGCATTGCTGCCCCACTCCACATTATTCCCTAACCCCAGCTTCCAACTAAACATCTGCAAAGAGTCAAAGGCACGGGGAACATAAAGGAGCCATCTCCATGAGGATCACCTCGCCAGTTAGTTAACCAAAGACGTGAAACTGTTTCAGAAGTGGAGGTATGTCCAAGTTCACAGAACTAACCACTCACAGGCCTGCAGAAGCTCCCAATTCAACCACAGCGACGCAGCTACAACACCTAAAAATGTATGCAAAATGCTGCTTTGAGGAGATTTTTTTGGCCATTCTGAAAAGCATGTAAATATAATAAATAATTATTATGTAACCTGTTGCAGATGACTGTCTGATCTGTTTGGAGCAGGCTTTTACGTCCAACTGGCTGTTCTGACTATAGTCAGGGTTCTTTTTAAGATTTACAGCAATTCTTTCAAAATCGCTCCAAAAACATTTGCATCACCTTTAAGTTTACTTTACTGGTTATTTTGAGCAAATATAATAGTTGTAAAAATGGCAAAAATTCTCTATAAAAACAGTTTCATGTGAAAATGATGGTGATGCAAATATTTATAAACGATCTACTGGAGATTAAAGCTGCTTAAGTAAGGCACTTTAGTGCTGGCTGCAGCTGCAAAAGCCCATCAGGGTGATGCATGCAAACTCTGAATAGAGGCCATTCAGGAAGCCATCTGCAGTTGGTAAGATGGGAATTATTTGTGCTATTTACACAGAAACACACTTTTAAATGACATAAATAAACATTTGACCCTCTCTTTGATCTGGTAAAATGAGAAGATGACATCATCTGATTCAAGGGCTTCGCTTTTCTGCTAAACGTTACCTTTTTTCAGCTGGACGCTGAACCTGTGGCCTTTGTTCTTTAGGTAGGTGCTATTAGACAAGTTTGTGCTTATCCTACGCTGCAGAGAGGGGGAAGAAGCCGACGGCGTCCTGGTGATTAAAGTGTGGGGTAACATGGTGTAACGCCGACCTGGCTCTGGGGTGCTTCCAGCCAGCAGGCTCTGGTGAGTACTGAAAGAGCACAGAGTTTGATTATTTCTCACAAAAGCATCAGATCTACACAAACATGCCATAACGTCTGGGCTGATAACATGAATGTGACCCTACATGTCATAAACTGCTGTTAAAGTAAAGTTGATGGTGACAAATGTTTACGTGGCTCTTCTATCTACTCCTAATTGACTCTGTGGGGCTTTCACAGACATAAGTGAGACTTTACAATTAGGGAGAAGAATTTTTACATCTTTCTGGAAAGACATCAATGCAATTCACTTCCTGGAATATTACCAACAACATAACTGAAAGCAAAGGTTATAAAACAGCAATAGAAACTTAAAGGACTGATATTCCTAAAATGTCATTTTGCTTGTTATTGTATATTTTTCTAGGTCTGAGTGATTTCTTCATAAAAATATTAATTAAAAACAATCCTTTGAAACTGCAAGACACACTTTCAAACATGCAGATGTCACCTTCGTTTCCAGCATTGATAATTAGAAAAAAAAAACATTTCAAACCCACTTCTGATTTTGGCCAGGTGGGGGTCCAGATTTGAATGGTAACCCAGCAATTACACTGGACCTCAGTGAGTCCTGGCTAAAGCGAACCCTGTTGAGCTGAGGTGAACTGAGCTCATTCTGAGCGGACAGCAGCTCGTAGTGCTTCTTCGTGGCTGCAGGAACCACGTGGAAGAGGATGAGTGGGGAACGCATCGCCTGCCTGAAAATGTTCTGGGCTCTGCAGGTGGTGCAACAAAAGAGAGGAAGGAGAGGAAGGTCACACAAACATGATAAGATGAACATGAAGAACGTGTCCTGTCACTGGACCACGCTCCACACAACAGCTGAACACAGATCTTACATTATTGATAAACCTGCAGCAACATCGGTAAATGAAGAGGGTTCAACGTTCATGGGAATGAAATGTGTGTGTGTGTGTGCGTGTGTGTGTGTGTGTGTGTGTGTGTGTGTGTGTGTGTGTGTGTGTGTGTGTGTGTGTGTGTGTGTGTGTGTGTGTGGTGTGTGTGTGTGTGTGTGTGTGTGTGTGTGTGTGTGTTGAAGGTGAGGGGACACATGCTGACTAAACTAGCTCATAAACACATGTAAGTTCATGCAAGGGAAAAGACATTGTCCTAATAAATAAATGAATAAAATCTCTGCTCTCTTCATGTGGGTTTAATGAGCAAATTAAGTCCTAACCCAAGAGCTCAATATGTCCACAAAGGTAAGTCCAAAGTTTTGATGACCACATAAGAAGAAATAGAGTTATAATGGATGGACTGGTCGAAACAGTTTAGAATCTTGTCTTAAAGCGCCACTAAAGAGTTGTAAACATGTCAAGGTATTGCTTTTAAACTGGTTTCAGTGGTTCTTCAGCTAAAATCTTTGCCAACATCACACATGACAGCGCCCTGCAGCCCTCTGCTGACCAGAAACTGACCTTAACAGTTTTGCAGCACAGGTAGGTTCATCAGTGGGAGCTCGTTACCTGCTTTACCTGCAAGAGCTGTTCACTGTGTTGTTAGCTCCTATAAAGGCTATAGCCGTTAGCTTTGTCAGTGCAAGAGAAAGAATTATTATTATTATTTTTTTGGCATGGTGACGAGGTCTGGAAATAAAAATAGGAGAGTAATGTTTTCAAAGTTGATGCAAAGAGCTAAAACCAGAGTGAACATCAGTGAAGCCTACACTCGTTCGAGGAAGCTAATAAAGGCTACAAAATTGTGGACAAGTTACAGATATAGAGCGTCCCATCATTAGTCATCATCACACTGGTGAAATTATATGGAATTAGGGTTGGGACAATATTACATGTAACTTGCAACATGTTTTATAACTGTGACTTTTGTTTTGTAGCATGTAATTCCCATTTTGTAACATGTAACGTCGGTACGTAACATAAAACTATTTCGTAACTTGCAGAAAATAATCAGTGTTCAAGTTTCAAATCACAACTCTCAAAACACATCTCAGTCGACAGTTACAAAACTCACGTCTACAAGTTCTAAACATTTTGTCCCAATTCTAGCTTGCTTCCAACAGGAATTGTCTTCGACAGGAATCCAAGAGTCATGATTGGCTGGTCAGACAAAGCCTGTCATTGGTTCTTTGGGAAGGAAGCTAGAATTAGGACAAAATGTTTTGAACTTGTAGGCTTGAGTTTTTTAACTGTAGACTGAGATGTGTGTTTTGAGAGTTGTCATTTTAAACTTGAACATTGATTGTTTTCTGCAAGTTGCAAAAAGAAAGTTTCATGTTACATACCAAACGTTACGGTTTACAAAGCTTGGTACAGGTTACAAAGCTTGGTACAGGTTACACGTAATATTGTCCCAATCCTAGTTTCATAAAATTACATCTCTGCATTTGACGCATCCCCATGCAGAGCGGTGAGCTGCAGCAGCGCCTGCGCATGGTAACTATTTGGTAGTTTAACCCCCCCAATCCATCCCCTTAACCCTGCGTGTCAAGCAGGGGGATATCGGTTCCATTTTGAAGGTCTTTGGTACGACCTGACCAGTTTGAACCCTGTTCTCCCAGTTCCAGGATGAACACTCTACCACTGAGAAGGTTGAAATGAAGAAAAAGAGTCTAGCGTGTCATGTAAAACCAGACCGTGTCAGAAAGACGTGAAAGAGGCAGGTTGTGGAAAGCGTTGAAAGTGGAGAGGAAGATCTTAAATTTTCTTAAATCTAAACGTTTAGATCAGAAGAGTTACTGATGTAAATCTACAAACGACCCCTTCAGCAGGGTTTGGACTCGCAAAGTTATTCTAATGTTTAGCGTGCGCACGCACACACACACACACACACACACACACACACACACACACACACACACACACACACACACACACACACACACACAAACAACACCTACTTATCCAGTCATCAACATTCAGTGTTGTGAGTGAGTGATTTGTGAGTGTGTGTGTGTGTGTGTGTGTGTGTGTGTGTGTGTGTGTGTGTGTGTGTGTGTGTGTGTGTGTGTGTGTGTGTGTGTGTGTGTGTGTGTGTGTGTGTGTGTGTGTGTGTGTGTGTCTGTGTGTGTGTGTGTGTGTGTGTGTGTGTGTGTGTGTGTGTGTGTGTGTGTGTGTGTGTGTGTGTGTGCTTATACCCAAATGTAGCCACATGCATACAGTGCCATCACTCCAGTAATCAGCCTCCATGTGAGCCTGATTGAATAATAAATTACCCCCATCAATGCATCATTACATTCAGTTAGATTAAGCGCCTCAAAATATTTACCCATGCAAAACAATCCAAGAAGATTAGACTATCGCTTTAAACTGTCACTGTGGCAAGCAATCATAAAAGAGCCAGGAGGGGGCAGAAGGGGAGGAAAGTTTAGCTCCTTCACCTCATTTTCATGCAGAAGCACAAATGTTCTGTACATCTGGGAGCTGGAGCGGAGGAGGTGTTTAGCGTGGAACGCTGCATCAGTCCCTGGTGGGTTTGGTCTGTGAACCGCTTTCACAGCAGAGCAGGTTTATAGAATAACAATAACAATGTTTGAAATAGAAAGGATGGAGTCTTTGCAACAAGATGAAAAGATTAAAATATTACAGCAAGGCAACAGTTTAACCTTCACTCATACAAGCCACTTATATACATGTTTGGCCTGCCTTAAATAAAATACGCCAACGGCAGCCCTGTTTTTTTTTTCAGAGGATTTAGAAAATCTCTGACAGTTTGGCCCTTATAAGCAGAAACTGGGTAACGGGGTATTTGTTCCTGTGGAGGATGATGAGAGCCAAGGACATCACCTCTCTGCACACGGCCTCCAGAGTCCAGGCGCTGTGACACTGCATGTGTGTGTCAGCACAACTGTAAGTGTGTGAGTACGCACATTGAGTCTGGTGTCAGACTTAGAGAGAAAGTGGCTTTGGGTAAATGGGAGTGGAGGAGTGCCAGGCTTCTTATATCTTCATCCCACTTTAGGAAATGAAGGGCAGCAATGAATCGATGAAAATGGATGATGAGGAGAATGTGGGCAGTTTTAGATCAGAGGGCGATGTGGTGATAAAGCAATGCAGGTCACCGACAGCTATTACAGGAGGGCCAAAGAGTGGGTAATATTTCTGTTTTATTGTGCAGCTGTGTGGGCGTCACGTCTCCCAGCAGTTTGGATCCTGCTTATCAAATAGCAGCACTGCTCTCTGCCACTTAATATTATGTCCACACACACTGTAAAGCTTGTCACCCACCAGATAGCTTCAGGGTACCACTGCCACAGCCACAAGTTTAAAGAAGTACACCATTTTAAGTGAATCTTTGCTAATAAAATTTGCTAATTCCCCCAAAATATACTTTTGTTAAGCACTCCAGCCACAGAAGGACCTGCTAACATTATTTCAGAGGCTTTTTTTTTATCAACACAGGTCAGAGTGGCAACAAAGGATGAGGCTTGAGATCCCTTTGTCATGCTGACTGAAAGGAGGATGGTGCTGGAAATCTTTCCTAACCCTGGTTACCTGGAAAACAGTGGACCTCGTAGACTAAGGCCTAGTCCACACATAGCCGGGTTTTTTAAAAACGAATATTCGCCCCTCCAAAAACTTGCATCCACACCACCTCGTTTTAAAAAGAAACTCTGTCCACACGTACCCGGATAAATACGTTGTTAAGGACATGCCAGACCTGTAGGCGGCAGTACTTCCCCCGTTCTTAACCTCGTCCTTCGTCTGTGGTCTTCAGCAAGGAGCAGTAATTCCGGTTGCAAAAACAAACCAGCAAACAGCGCTTGGACAATTGATAAAGCGAGCGCAGCTCCGAGGGCATCCATGCTGTCGGCTAGTGTAAACACAGGTCGCACACGTGATGTCAGCATTTTTTTGTCGCGGAAAGTGACGTTGCGGAGCTTAAAACTCCAGTTTTGTCTGTCCACACGCAGACACCAAAAACGGAGAAAACGCAGATCTTCACTTTGGCCGGAGTCTTTAAAAAGATCCGTTTTCGTGTGAAAAAACTCAGTTTTCGAGTGGATGACAGGCCAAAACGTAGAAAAATATCTACGTTTTGGCAGATCCCCGGCTACGTGTGGACAGGGCCTAATACTCCCCCTCAACAAACCATTCTTCTGGTCATCAAGAACTTTGAACAGTTTGGTGATGGAGCACACGGTCAGAAAGGCTAAAGGCTGAACCTCGTGGCTCAAAGACCAAAACATTCATGTCCAGGAAACTCCTTCTACCCATCAAGGATTTACAGTCTACTCTTAAACCTGGTTCTTGTATTAGATCGACAAGTTTCCCTTCCTTCCATCTCAGTTGCTTGATTTTACATTTGTTGTAAATGGTTTTAATTACCTATCTGGTTTTTATTCATTTGTTTTAACTACTGTTCTTGTGTTTGTTTTTGATGTGCAGCGCTTTGGTCAGTTGTGATGCTGCTCTCAACAAATATAATGTTAGGGTTAGGGGTTTCCATCATTTCTGACAAACTATGATTGGATCAGAAGGCAGACACAATAACAGAGTGAACGGCAGAAGAACCGTAATTACAAATACTGACTTGTTGCATGAATGTGCTGCAACATTGAATAAAATCCTTTAAAACTTAGAAAAATGCTTATTGTTATTATACTTCTCTAAAATGACCCAATAAGTATAATTTAGAGCTCACAAAACCATAATCAAACTAGCTGATCCACAGTAATGCTTACTGTTCAAAGCGCAGGTTGCGGATGTCCCCCTGGTTAATTTTGACGATGCAGTCGTTCTCCTGGAAGAGATGCTCCTGCTCAGCTTTCCCCCCAGGCTCCAAACGCTTCACCAGCAAGCCCTGAGTCCTGCAAACGATCACAAAGCATCGAATACACTCAAGCTCATTCAAACAACACATCATGACAATTATAAAATTACTATGCTGCATGGAAAGATTTGGGTTGAAGGATTTCCAGTGGTGACAGGGTATTAGCGTCCAGACGTCTGATACAAACGCCCGGAGCGAGGAGCAACAAGGATTAGTGCTCAGGGGAGAAACACTTTGAGTTTCTCAACACTGGCAGTGGGTTTTATTTTTGGTCCTAATGACTCACAACATTTCAAGCAACATTACTTTACTTTTTTTTCCGAAAGGTAGGCTATGTGGCATAACTCTAATCACCGTTTGCCAGTAAAAGTTTACTTTTCAAAGTTTAAATTTAGATAAAAAGATGAAATTTCCTGTTTGCTGGAAGGAGACCGCATTGCAAAGCTGATGTTAAGATTATGTCTGTCTTCCTTTCCTCCACTGCCTTTCTGTCCATGAGCAGATCTGAGAGAATGACAGGCGAGTTGTCTGAAGTAATCTAGACTACAAGCTAGGGGATCATCTTATGGCTTCCAGGGGAATGCTACAGCCTGCTTCCCTGGAGCTTAAGGCGAGAGCTGGCTGTGCTGATAATAAATAGCAAAAGAGTTTCACTGCATTGCCATCTCAGCAATCCCTTCAAAAAAGGGAGACATTTACCTTCAAACACTCCTTCCCTTCATTCCCCTCTGAATAAATACATCAGTGAGCTCCTGGAGGCGTTAGTCAGGCCCTAAGGATAACCGCATGCAAAGAGATCTGATGTAGCTCATGCAGCACTACAATAAACTCCAGCTAATGTCTAAGAAGCTGAAAGACTGAGGCAGCAGGCTGACTGCTTGCAGATGTTTGGTATCTTTCACAAAACTGAGGATTCAACATTAAAATGCGAAATCACGGCGTAATAAAAGAAGCAGTGAAAGAAAATGTCCCATGCTTTTCACAAATATTGCAAAACGTTAACTTCAAGTTGTGCCCCAGTTAATCTAGGATTCAAGTTTAACAATAAAAGCTCTTTAGCATTTGAGCCTAACTGGACCACCTTCAGAACATTGCTATAATTGACTGCATAACGTGGAAATCCACGCTCGTCGGCGGGGGTACATGGTTCAAGCAGTAGGTTCAAATTAAAGATCATGAAAGGCTGGCCGGTTTTTTTTCAGGTCGCCTTAATGCTGGTGAGCTCAGCGTCCTCGTGATCACTGTCAAAGCAGGCAGGACCATGCTCTATCTGTGGGTTGTTGGCTTGAAAACAAAAGCACTGCCCATAGAGATCACTGCATGAACGAAGTCAAACATCTGCTAACGGAGTACGGAGAGTAGATGAAGGGGTTTTAGCTGATCCCTGATCGGTATTCAAAGCAGGTTGGGGATAAAGCAGCATCTTGTAAAGCTTTATAAGGAAGACGATTTTAAAAATGACTGACGTGTTGACTCAAACACTCACAGTTCTTTACTATTTCACTCTAGTGAAGAATCGTGTTTACTTACATAGACTAACTCAACTTTTAGAGTAATTGTTTTTTTGTTTTTTTTTTTGGTTTTGATATTTTTTTCAGTTGTGCAGGTCAGCAACTTCATTAGGCACCAGATACACTGTCCAGTGAGTCTCTGCAGAATCAGCATTAAAATACACCGGAAGAAAAAGAGTGAGCATCGCTAGTACAGCTTTACACCGTCTTGTGGCTGCACAGCAGTGCTGAAGAACAGATTTGAAGGAGGCCACCTGCTCATCTACTGCCTTTAATCAAATAATAATCCAATCAAGATCTATTTATGCAAGACAATTATGTGCTCTGTTTGTTTACGATCGAAACTGGTCATGGAATGAGTTGTTCATTAGGCACAGAATGCATCTGCAAGTCTGCGTTGGTGTGTGCAGTGTGTGTGTGTGTGTGTGTGTGTGTGTGTGTGTGTGTGTGTGTGTGTGTGTGTGTGTGTGTGTGTGTGTGTGTGTGTGTGTATGTGTGTGTGTGTGGTCACAGCTCAAATCGTTAGCATGTAAAGAAAAATAAAAGAGACAGCTTGTGTGGAAGCACACCTCCAAAGACCCATATTCCCCTCAAAGCGCTTGTGTGTAAGTTTACTTTACAGGTGAGGATCCGTGCATCTGGATGTGTGTTAGAGAGAGTTACTGTCAGGCAGAGTGACAGAGTCTGTAAGCTCCCTCCTGCTCAGATCTCACTTGATGTCAGTGCAGTGGAGCGGAATACGGCCAGCCGACGGTGGAGGCCCTGCAGTTTCTTGTTTGCTGCCTGTCTCTCTTTTTCTTTTTTTTCTTCCCGTCTGACCCCTCTGGCCCTGGTCTAGACACTAATGACAGCCCACTGAGGCTAATGCCTCCTGTCCTCGCCCACAGAATAGAGGAAAGAACTGGGCCAGCCCATTAGCATCAACCCACTGACCAAAGTCTTATTACGGCTGAATTTAATTAAAGTCTCTGTAGCTATTAGTACCAGGCAAAGCTGATGGCAGAAGAAATGCACTCACCACATGGGACTACTGTTATATCCTTACCATCTCTGTCTGGGTTTCCAGGAATACGTGGAAACTATAAAACGTCCATTAAATAACTGGTTCTGGATTTTACTTCTACCTCGCAATTTCCTTAGATGTGCCTCGTCGTGTTTTTTTTATTGCCCCTTTCAGAAGCCCAAGAATGCAGAGCACTTTTCCTTTCCTTATCTATTTGTTGCACATCATCTGCATTACATCTATACGCTGCAGCGTTGTCGTCTTCAAGCACAAAAACACCCAAGATGCCCAGCAGGTCTGACGAATATGTTTTCCACTAAGAAATACATTTGATTTGAAGAGATATCAGTTGAAGTGAATTATTAACTATCAGCAGGAAATCATCACTAGAGGAATAAACAAATTAAGGTTGGTTCATGCTTGACACGTCCGCGAGGTCCGCACGGCTCCGCGCGGCGAAATTGCGTCATTTTAACAACCACGCCCCTCCACTGCATCTCCGCACGGCCCAAAATTTCCGCAACGCGCACCTAGGGAAATTTCTAACCACGCGGACAGTCAGATGCGGAAAAACATGGCGGACCGGCAAGAACTAGTATGGCAGAGGTTCGTAAATACAGACATTTGTATGAATCAGCTCTCAGAGAGCACCGTGATCAACATGTTGTTAATAATTCTTGGAGAGAAATAGCTCGCACTGTCGGAAAAGACGAGGACGCTGTTAAAAATGCTGAAATGCCATGTTGTAAACAGTAATTTCTACTTCTACTATGGTGTAGTGTTGGGTGCATGCCGTAGAGCTCCATGCTGCCCCGTTCAGTTTGGGAGAATATTGGCTCACCGCAGAGACGAGCCGCATGAACCATAAACGCTGTGAGTTGTGAAGCGCGTTCCGTCCGCGAGCCGCATCACCGAGCGGAAAGTAAATGCGTGAAGCATAAACCAAGCTTTAGACTTCTCCTGACGGACCAGACTTGTTTTTTAAAAGCAGCAAGCTGATCAGTTTTCTAAAGTGGGATGACCATCAGCAGAAGGGATTGCAGACCATGTGAAATGCGTGTTGCATACAAGGCAGCTCAAAGAGAAGCAAATGCTTTTGCCTGTAAGGTAATTACGTAAATACAGGTCGGTTTTCTTTTAAAGGCATGCAGAATGCCTTCAATGTGGCAAAACCGCAGCAGCTCAGAGACTCATGGATGCCCGGATTGAGAAAAGTACCTTTGCAGGCGTATGCTAGATTAAACAAACATGTGAAATCTTTAGAAGCATTTGCAAAAGACGTGCAATCCTTTGGTGATTCAGACCAGGGTAACTTTAGGAGTCAGAGGGGTTGACCGCTAAATAGCAAAATATAGCTTTGACACTTGATGAAAAGAAACAGCTACAAGAACACGGCCTCGTGTGAACCTCTTCAATGACAACCAACCTTTCTCCCTCAGATGTCATCCAGTGTCCTGTCTATACCCCGTCTGTTCACCTCACCCCCCTGTCCGTCCTTACGGGCGCTGAGTAGTCACATTCAACTTGGAGGTGTGCCAGTCTGTTGGACTGCTGCAGGAATAGTAGTTTTACTCAGGCTTTTAGGCTGATTACATCTGGCCACGCTGTCTGTCCTCTTTTTTTTCTTTTTTTCTGGAACAATGATAAACTTATCGTTTTGTACCTCTCATCTTTTAAAGAGCAAGTCACCCCCAAATCACATTTCTTTTTGCTGATAAACTATATAAAGGAGTGTCTAATCATGCTGCAGACACGTGTAGTCAATAATTTGGCAGTTCAGTGCATCTTGGTTAAAATTCAAATATTCTGCCTAAAACTGTCAGTGTTGCGCCGTCATCTGGGAAAAATTCTGCACTGTATTTGAATTTAAATCTGCCACTGCTATTGGCTAAGAGGTATGCTATGATGTCATCTGGTACATTATGATGTCATAATGCCATTGTGAGCCTGTGAGTGTGTATTTGTTAGCGGCTCAGCCCTCTCGGTCTGCCAATCAACAGCATTTGTTGCATTTTTCAAACATGAAGTGGGAGTGAAGTAAGTTTCTTGTAGGAGGTGACTTGCTCTTTAACTTTTCTGTTAAAGTCGGCCTAAAACTACTCTGATAACTGAAGCGGCATTTGTGATAATAGATGAAGTTAGAGGTTTAGGAAAAACACTATAGATTTAAAAACTGCAACCTAAAGTCAAACATTTTGATTTTGCCAACAGGAACTTCCATATGACAGGTGTCAGAGTGCCACACACTCTGTGCCACCTTCTGACCACCACCAGCAAGCAAGGTGGGGGATGTGCCTTGCCCAATGATCTCCTAACACCTGAGCCACCATCACTCCCAAGGTCAGGATGAAGACAGCGATGAGTAGGGATGTGGTGTTACACACGTACACCACATTAACTAGCTAGTGACCTTGTAAGTTTTGAAGGTTATAAAGAAAAGGAATGTTTAAAGATAGGGTTTAATTGTTTATTCAATACATTTGCAGTGTTCTCTAGTGTAAAGCAATCCTTATGAGTCATTAAAAAACTAAACGCTATGATGCTGCCGTTCTGAGATGCAGTAGTTGGTGCAGAGGTGGGCTGAAAACAGCAAGATTATTTACCATTAACTCGTTAACTGCCATTGACAACTAAGTTCGTCATTTGCATGTTTTTTTACCGTGTGAGCGTCGGAACGAGCCCCCGCATTGTGAGAACAAACATCCCAGCTCTAAAGCCGATCTTCATCCGCGTACGTCACATGTCACGTGATCCGGATGCAGAAGATCCATGTGTTAGGAGATCATTTTGGGCCGCTGCTGTAAAAAAGTGAGGCGCAAACCAGAAACGCTTCTGCCGATCACAATTCCACAACAGATTATGAAAGAACGGATAACGCTCAAAACATGTGGACTCTTCCTGATGTAAAAGGTGAGTCTACTCTTTGTTTTGGTAGTTTTGGTAATGACATCAGCCAAGCACTCAACGTTTTGTGACTCTTACAATACAGTGAAAATGCTAAAAAACGCTGGCAGCGAAGGGCTTTTCTGGCATAGATCTGTGAGGATTTTCACATCCTAGCATCTATTTTCTATCATAAGCTAATACAGGAGAACTTTTCTGATTATAATCAAAAATAATAATAAAAAAAAATTCAGTCAACCACACCTTTAACCCCCAGAGAGCCACGGTTGTAATATTACAACATCAGATTTAAGTCTACAAAAATAAACCTTCCCCATTTTTTTCCCTTTTAAAACCACATTTACATTGCTAATAGGTCCTATTGTTCAAATCTGCAACACTATTCGCTGTTAAAATGTGTAAATAGGCCCGTTTATCTGGCCTCCTAGAACAACATGTGAAAGGTTAAAAAAGGATTTTGCAGCTGTTTTCTAAATTTGGGTTTCTGGGGGTTAAAAAACTCACTAAAATAAAATGTAGAAGGCCTGCCATTCTGCCTTTTATATCAACATTATAATATATGAGTGCTAAATGAGTTATAGCTATACAAAGCCTGACAAATAAAGTTCTGCCATGTCACACAATATTTCAGTATTTAAATGATGTGATTTAAACAACTTTATGCTAATATAGGTTAACGTTACATTTTAGTTCAATTTTTGCCTAATTAACTGACTTACAGCCATGTTTATGCTTACTGCGGGGGAGTAAATGGAATCATGTAATAGGAAGTTGGAGATGTACATCAAATGAAGATGACCAACAAACAAACACATATGAACACACGAGTGGGTGAAGTAAAACAAAACCGCAACACGCACTAGGTAGCAGCTTGTTTTTACCTAATATCCTGCGAACTGAAAGGGACCACATGGATCCCAAGAGGCCCTCCTCCATTGGACACCTCGACTGGCTTGAGCATGCTTCTGCAGGAGGTTGATGGATGACATCAGGTGGGAGAAAAAAAATGAAGGAAGGGGAGACATGCATGAATAACAATTAAATAACAGAAGTAACAAGAAAATACAGACAGTAAATGAAACGAGAATACAGTCAAACATGACAGAAGGCTGATATGACGGACGGAATGGAAGTTCACTGAGCCACGTTGTTAGGAGCTGCATTGTTTGGTCTACACAAAGTCGTCCATTACAAAGTCTGATGGGTGGACCTCAGGGTCGATTAGAGGACCAAATGGAGACTCCAATTAAGTGATTAAGATCAGACTGCTTAAAGAGAACAAACTAATTGAAAATGTGTAAGGGAAGGGGGGAGGATGAGGAGAAGAAGGTTAAATGGTGTAGATCAAGACATGAAGACAAATGAACAAGAGCTACTATCAATGCAGATGTGTGAGATATTAGGGGAGGAAGACCTTGGCCTTGGACGTCTACGAATCGATAATCCGGGGAATACTAATATTTTTCATATTTTTGTGAATTATGAAAATGAGAATTGTGAGAAGAAAGCTTTAGTAAACAGTCACACACACACACACACACACACACACACACACACACACACACACACACACACACACACACATAATTTGTCTGGAAAACTCAAAATGGCCCAGAGCACTTCGGTGATCCTTGGCCTGAATGTGATGTCACCAAACGAGCATCTACAACAAACTGTAGCGAAGAGGTCCATGATAGTTGGGTTAGGGTAGAGGTGGATCTATAATAAGACATTTTTTTAAAGTTTGGCTGTATTGATGAAAACACAAGAGATCTTTTCATTTGAAGACATGTTGTCAAATAATTTCTTTAAATGCTTAGTTTAGTCGCTTATTCAATACATTTGCATTATTCTCTGGTGTAAATCAATGCCTTATAAACTATGATACTCCTGTTCTGAGACGCAGAAGTTTGCTGGATTGATGAGCAGGATCACTCATTATTATTAATTATTAATGATGTACACATACCTCGTTTCTGATTGGCTAACAGGATGTGCTCAGCCATGTTGCAAAGTCATTAATACCAGACACTCTCCACTCTCTCCTCCCTGCAAAACTTTTTTAAAAGCTCTCCTGTGGGCGGGCCCGAGCCAAGATGGGCGAGGCCATGAACGCAAATTCGCAGCGTGACATAAATATGTGAGGATTTTCAAATCTTAGTGTTTCACAGTCTTTTTTTCTATCAGAAGCTAACGCAGGAGATAGGTGTAGGAGACTATTTATGTTCAGCTGCATGAAAAACTCGGAGCGACTGATTCTAATCAGAAATAAAGGAAATATGTTTCTGTGAGGACTCTGGGGCAAAGAAAGCAGTTTCCATGTGGGCGGGGCCTCTTTCTGATCGACCACTCACTCAAGATTTAAGAAAGGCAAACGTTCCAGGGAAGAGTCGTCCCCCCCTACTGGCTCGATCCGCTCTATTCCTCTTTCATCTTTTTTTTGCTCCTGTTCCTCCTCCTCTTCCTGTGAAACAAAGAAAGGAGAAAAGGAAGGAAAAAGAAAGAAGTAAGAATTATTATAACACGGTGTCAGCAACATAAAAACAGACTCATGCTCACTACTTCTTGGCTGATCTTGCATGTCACCTTCTCTTGCCTGTAGCTCTCTCCACTTGGCTTTTAGTGCAATTACTTGGAGAAAATATCCTCTACTCTAAATCACAAACTCTGAGTGCAGGGGACATCGTTGCAGCAGAAAGCTCTCTCCAAAACACCCCAGTGACGGTCACAGCAAAGAGCCCATGAGCCACAGCTCTGGCTCAATCAGTTATATCTGACCCAAGGTGGGGCACCACTGCCAGGTCGGAAGAGATGGGATCAAGGTCTGAAACTAAAACTGGGTTTGTTTCTTTCAAGCTCTTCATCTCAGTGACTCGTTGTCCTTCAGGACCATTAGGCCAGGAACAGGGAGGCCAGACATCTGAGGACTTAACCGGGCACTAGGATGAGACGGAGGCTTTTTACTCCTTTCAATGAGGGATAAAAATCTCTGTTTACGCTCTCTTTATGGGGATGGTACAGACTGAGAGGGAGCTAAAATGACGTGATGACATCCAGCGTATGTATAAAACTGGCCACTTTATTAGGTGTACCTGTCTAGTTGCTTGCTAGTGCTTTTTGATGCAAATAACTAATTAGATGGTAGCTTGATTCCTTGAACACAATGCATTTAGTCATCTAGACATGGTGAGGTTCTCCAAACACTGAAAAATATGAAAAAATCGGCCCGACCTGATCTCGGGATGGGGGCATCCCTACCAATAAGGCATTGACTTACTCTAAATCGACAACAACAGCCTTCCTGTTTGTGAGTAAAGATGGGTGAGTCCATGAACTGTAAGTGACAGTGTGGCGTAGATCTGCCAGGCTTTTCAAATCCTAGAGTTTCATCAAAAGCTAATGGAGGAGATAGGTGAAGGAGACTATTTTCATGTTCAGCTACATGAAAAACCCAGAGTGATTGATTATAATAATTAAAATGAGTTTTCAGTAACCCACACCTTTAAACACCACAGCCTGCCTGAGCACTGTGGCTGACCATGTCCATCCCATTATGACCGTATGGACCCATCTTCTAATACATCACATTTTCTTTTTGTATTTTTCTTATTCTTGAGGTTATACCTTCAGTCACGATGGGAACTGCTGATACTTGAGTGTGTGTGTGTGTGTGTGTGCCTGCCAGCATTTAAAGTCTCCTTGGTAGGTGCTGCTGAAATGCTTTGTTAGCCACTGCTATCTCTTTGCCGTCACCCTTCTTCTTCCTGAAATGTCAAGCACCTCTAAATAGATCTTGTGTCTTTCTGCTTTCTTTATGGAAATGGATTCTACTCTTTTTCAGGCACTATTTCCAACACTCTCAGGTGGCAAAGAAGGACTCGGTCTCCAATTTATTTATTAAATCTGGGGTAAAAAGTGACAGGGGCATGAAAATTTCATCAGCACTCTTTCTTAAAAGATCCTGTCTCACCCAGCTGGTCTGTTTCTTCTTTCAAACCATCCGGTATGAAAATGAGTCAGTCAGCCCGGCGACCCCTGCCTTTAATTACATGCCAGCCAGGGTTGTGAGCGTCTCACGGGGCCTGTTATTCACAAAGCTGTTAAAGTGAGCGAATTATATATATTTTTCTTAAATGTGAATTTCTAGATAGTCCACACAAAGGACTTGGCCACCTGTGGCTATTTATAAAGATGAGAAAGCACACAGAAAAAGGGAGAAAATACAAAAGAATCAACACAGCATTGACTATATACAGTCAGGTCCATAAATATTGGGACATCGACACAATGCTAACATGTTTGGCTCTATACACCTCCACAGTGGATATAAAATGAAACAAACAAGATGTGCTTTAACTGCAGACTGTCAGCTTTTATTTGAGGGTATTTAAATCCAAATCAGGTGAACGGTGTAGGAATCACAACAGTTTGCATATGTGCCTCCCACTTGTTAAGGGACCAAAAGTAATGGGACAGAATAAGAACCATAAATCAAACTTATACATTTCAATACTTGGTTGCAAATCCTTTGCAGTCAATTACAGCCTGAAGTCTGGAACACATAGACATCACCAGATGTTGGGTTTCATCCCTGGTGATGCTCTGCCAGGCCTCTACTGCAACAGTCTTCAGTTCCTGCTTGTTCCTGGGGCATTTTCCCTTCAGTTTTGTCTTCAGCAAGAGAAATGCATGCTCAGATTCAGGTCAGGTGACTGTCTTGGCCATTGCAAAACAGTCCACTTCTTTCCCTTCAAAAACTCTTTGGTTGCTTCTGCAGTATACTTTGGGTCATTGTCCATCTGCACTGTGAAGCGCCGTCCAATGAGTTCTGAGGCATTTGGCTGAATATGAGCCGATAATATTGCCCGAAACACTTCAGAATTCACCGTGCTGCTTTTGTCAGCAGTCACACCATCAATAAATACAAGAGAACCAGTTCCACTGGCAGCCATACATGCCCACGCCATGACAGTTCCCGCACCATGCTTCACTGATGAGGTGGTATGTTTAGGATCATGAGCAGTTCCTTTCCGTCTCCATACTCTTCTCTTCCCATCACTCTGGTACAAGTTGATCTTGGTCTCATCTGTCCATAGGATGTTGTTCCAGAACTGTGAAGGCTTTTCTAGATGTTGTTTGGCAAACTCAAAACTGGCCTTCCTGTTTTTGGGGCTCACTAATGGTTTACATCTTGTGGTGAACCTCTGTATTCACACTAGTGGAGTCTTCTCTTGATTGTTGACTTTGACACAGATACACCGACCTCCTGGAGAGTGTTCTTGATCTGGCCAACTGTTGTGAAGGGTGTTTTCTTCACCAGGGAAAGGATTCTTTGGTCATCCACCATAGTTGTTTTCCGTGGTCTTCCGGGTCTTTTGGTGTTGCTGAGCTCACCAGTGCATTCCTTCTTTTTGAGAATGTTCCAAACTGTTGTTTTGGCTGCACCTAATGGTTTTGCTATCTCTCTGATAGGTTTCTTTTGTTTTTTCAGCCTAATGATGGCTTGCTTCACTGATAGTGACAGCTCTTTGGATCTCATCTTGACAGTTGACAGCAACAGATTCCAAATGCAAATAGCACACTTGAAATGAACTCTGGACCTTTTATCTGCTCATTGTAATTGGGATAATGAGGGAATAACACACACCTGGCCATGGAACAGCTGAGAAGCCAATTGTCCCATTACTTTTGGTCCCTTAACAAGTGGGAGGCACATATGCAAACAGTTGTAATTCCTACACCGTTCACCTGATTTGGATTTAAATACCCTCAAATAAAAGCTGGCAGTCTGCAGTTAAAGCACATCTTGTTCATTTTATTTGATATCCATTGTGGTGGTGTATAGAGCCAAAAATATCAGCATTGTGTCGATGTCCTGATATTTAAGGACCTGACTGTACATACAACTTAGGTAAAACAGGCTTAAAATGAAAAAGTCACTTTGAAATGTTATATTCAGAAAGGAAATGAGAGGAATACTGGATGTGAAAGTTACCAGAGTCATCAGAGATGTAAGCTGATTTGTGGTGCATCATCAGTGACACTGACAGGTAATTAGCTTCAGCACAAATCATTAAGCTCCTGCTTGTTAGTTTAATCAAACAGGTTGCAAATGGTTGTGCCAGGAATCCATTACATCACTTCTCTTTCAGCCTTCATCACTCTGACATAATTCTAGTCCAAGGGCAAATTATATAAAAATACTCAAAGTATTTGTTTTATATATAGAAATAAAAAAAAATCCTATCTCATCCTCCATGGGTGGTCTCATCCTTCCAAGCTCGGGTCCTCTACCAGAGGCCTGGGAGCATGAGGAGTCTGCGGTATCTTAGCTGTTACAGCTGCACTTTTCTGGACTGAGATGTCTGATGTTTTTCCTGATCTGCTTTAGCCACTCCTCCAGTCTGGGGGTTACTTCCCCAAGTGCCTCGATGACCACGGGTATCACCAATGTCTTCATTCTCCAGGCTTCCTCAAGCTCTTCTTTGTCCACAACCCCAATGTCTGGTTGGTTCGCCATCACCATTTTGTCAGTGAAGGTGTCTGGAAGTCCCACAGGAGCTTGTGAATAAGGTACCGCCTCAGGTTCTCTACCACCTCAGGGGGTGTTTCTCACGTTGACCTTGGTGCTTCTAATCCATACTCTGCACACTACTCTGCATACTCAGGAAATACCAGATTCTTTAATTACACTGGATCAAAAATCACAACAAAGCAGATGTGCAGGCTGAATGAAAAATTACCATAAAACGTTAGCGGCAGAAATCACAACACCAGCATGGTGTTATGTACATTCAGGTGTGAAAAAAAAAACTAACAAAATTAAATATGAAGGGATTTGGTCGTGCGTGACAGAAAACACGAGATAAATGAAAATCAAAAGTAACAAAAAGCAACACAGTAAGAAGACAGAGTTATCCTTGACTCACAGCATCCCAGTAAGATTTGTCTTCATTTTCTTTTTTTTACCACACACACACAGATGAATAAATGATTAAATATTACTAAGGACTACATGTTTTCTTGCAATTACAGCAATCAGATTTCCATCTTAAGGTTCCAACAGAAAACAGGGATTTGTTTAATCACTGTAGCTTCTGAGGGAGAATAAATTCACTCCTTTGGCTGGATATGTAAGATTTTTGGGCAAAACAGCGTGTTAATGTGTTGCAGCTTTAAACTGAAACATACTGTCATAATACTGAGCTGAAATAAACAACATATGTGTTGGAGTACAGCAGGTGTTGGAAAAAACGTTGCTCAGCCTTGGGAGGAAATCTCTCACTTTTAATGCTCAGCAGTTTTCCTGGTAACGAGGCTCATGACTGACTCTGGAAAACACACTCGCACAATAATCTCTCATTAGCTGCAATGGTTCAGTAAAGTCAAACCTCACGGTCTGAAGCACCAAGGGCAACATCACTTTGGCCTTTAAAGTACCAGTTTAACAAATACTGCTTAAAA